TGGATTTAAAAAATTTTAGCATTTAATCTTTTTGTCTTTCCGGATGTTACTCTCATGTGCGCTACAGTTTCAGTTTTTTGCTAATTCATAAAATCATATTAAGTAAAAATTTTGTAGCATTAGTGACAAAGAAAATAACGATGCAAAACGATATATCCCTCAGCCAAAGCGCCGTGTTACTTTCAGTAATGAAGTTAGTGCATGCCCACCACCTGGTTAGTTTTATTTTTCTAATTGTTTACATAAATTTAGCACTTGCTTCACCTTGCATAAGTTATATTTTACATCAAATTTTATATCAAAATTGCAGAATTTGATTTTGATTCGCTGGTAGTGATATATTATCGAAGATTGATGGACTTTTACAAAACTTCTAGAATGTTGAACATAGCGGTGCTGCTAGTTAACTTTCGGCAATAAATTTGTGACTGAGTACTGAAAATTTGTAAAAGCAGTGTTTTACATAAAATCGCACACTATTATAAAATTTTCTTTGCTTACCAAATGATCTTGTAACGGTCATTCATTGTTGTATAATGAAATTGTTAGAAGGAAGAGAATATGACTAAAGAATGGCTCATACGAAATAAAAAGAGAAAGGATTGATGTTTTAGCTTTTTGCTTTGTATTCTCAAATAAGTTTTTATGACTCGATCATGGAGTAGTTTTTATAACAGTTTTTCATATTATGATTTCTGATAAATTTTAATATCACAAAGTTCTTTTATGTCTTTTCACGATTTTTAATTTTATTGTAGATGACGGCAACTATCCTTCGGCTTTGATAATACCGCTAAAATCGGAAGTGGTTGTTGTCAACAAACTTCGCAAAAGTTTGTTTTGTTTTTCTTAATACATTTTTAAGATAAAACCTACGGTTTTCTGATTTTATATTTTAGAAGGTCGTGATTCGAAGAAATGGCTCAGCGAGATCGAGAAGAAAGAAATTACTGAAATGGCTCAAGAATTCTTCAAGTGTTGTGACACTATGCAACCGTTAAAAATAGAGGAAAAAAGTATTAAAATTGATGCATTTGAAAGATAGTTTTTATTTGTGGAAGGCTTACTATATCTTGGAAGATTTAAATCTTTGGATGAAATTTATTTTCCAGATATCATCCTTTTCAATTAATTGTTCGAGAAAAATTTTTGACAGAATCGAAAGATTTTTCATGAATGCTTTTTGTGTTCATGTTTAAATCCTGTTAAATGTAAATTGTTAATTTTTGAAGTCTTAATAATTTACTGGGTCTTCAATATTAAGGAAACTGAAAATAATTGTGTTTTAATTCTTTTCGACGGTAATTTTTTCAGTGGAAGGTAATGGGTTTTTGTTAATGGATCGCCAGATGGAGCAATTGTCCCTGAATGAAATGTCATCATCCACTCCATATTCAGCTGCTAGACGTCATCTAGAATCTATAGCTGAACGTTACAGATTTTCTGTCAATTATACCGATTTTCCTGTGGTGCGTATTTTATTTATTAATTGGAAGAAGAAAAAAAACATTGTATTTAATGCTTGAAATGCACTATCTGACAGTTCTTAAAGAAGTAATTGATAAAGTTGATTGAAGAATAGACATTAAAAAAAGGATAGATAATTTGTTCACCATCGGATGCTTGTAATAAACTTAAATATGATTTGATTTAGACTCCGAATGGGATTGGAGATCAATATTTTTCACTTATTTCAATTGGAATCGATAAGCCTGTCGTAAGTTTCAATTTGATTGGGTCGATGACATTATTGTCTCGATTTCTTATATGTCCTTTTTTTATACAGTTCCGTCAATTTTTTATTTCAAGGTATGTCACGGAAGTGGAAATACCGAAGAGGCTGCTCATGAAGATGCTGCTCGTAATGCCTTACTGCTTTTTTGCAAAGTTTGGATGGTGTATTAAACGTTACATGAAATTTACTCCATTGGTTATTCTCACTGTTATTCTTTCAGTGAAATAAGAGTGTTGCATTATTTTCGGAATGATATAAATGATCACGAGGTGGGTAAACGAATTTAATGTTAAAACTTAATTATTTTTGAGAATATACAGAACAAACGAAGTGTATGAATCTTGTAGAGGTGCAAGTAATTTTAGATAATTTTGTAGTCAAAGACAGTTCATTATTTCAGCACATTTTTTGATAAATAAGTGATTCTATTACAGACGTGCAGCATGGAGCTACAAAATTTATTTATATGTTCTTTTATTCTTGTGTGTCCCAATAGTTATACCTAGTACTACGTATTGTATCCTATATTTGTTTTTTACTAAATATTTCCTGAAAATCTCAAAGAACATATTGGTAAATGTCATTTGTATGCTTTTGTATGCTGTGAACACCATCTTGTTTTGGTACGGTAAATATGAATTAATCATTTGGTAACCAATGTGAGTCTAGGGATGCAAAAAGACTTTCAGAATTTTTTCTTTTTTCGCATTATATCTATCGTGCTGTTCCATTTCCTATTTTCTCTCTTTTGCGAAATTTGCTTTTAGTTGAAATGAATTTAATGTAATTCGTCAAAGACATGCTGGAGTGGAATAGGCTTCTGAGGGTAAGCCCAACGTAATTAGTAAATGTTATTACTGGTAGAATTCGAAAGATAAATAGTAAATAAGAACCAATTGTTTTGTCTTTTACTGCTAATAGAGAAGTCATGGTTTTTTTCTGGAAATGTCAACCTGTTCTCTCTTCATTGCTTTTTTTGCTAAATAATATTTCGCTGTTAATTCATGCTATATATCAGTATTATTTTGTGGTAATGATCTTTATATTATTAACGAAGACTTGTAAGCAGTTATTAATTCTAATTATTCTTTCCTTAATATCACTTGCTCACTGTCATGTTTGTGATTTTTAGATATCTATTTTTCTTTCATTTTCTACCCAGTGCTGCTCTAAATCATCACTTTTTTAACAAGTGGAGCCCAATAAGAAATAAGCATTTTGAAATCATAGGCTTTTGTTTCGTTCTTTATTATTATACATTAAATAAGCGCATACATAGTTTATTCTTAGATTAACAAATTAGTTTTGTTTAAAATAAGTTTTTAGATGTTAATTTACTTACTGCTCTACAGTGGAAATTAATGTACACATTTTTTGGAATCGAAAAGAAATGGATGATCAATATTGATAATGGATTTTTAAGTCATTTCAAGTTTATTGGACTTGTAGTTGATCTTAAAATCATTTGGTAATTTTGAGTTTGTCAATTCTCAAGCATCAGATTAGTAATCTAAAAATTGGTCAGATTAGTTTCTACTGTGGAAAGTTTGGAGTCAATATATGTATTAATCAGGAGTATGCAGTTTAAGTGTTCGACTTAGTTATGGATAATTTCGTTTCGAAATGATCATCACATGTACGTGTACAACCATTTCATGCTTTCAATCAATCAGCGGTGCCCATTTTGACTCCTTGCAACTTAAATTTTAGCCAGGTCGAAGTACTTTTCTCTGTTTTCAACTCAGTGGACGGTGACTATTAACTGAAGATATAGAAATAACTTTGTGTCTGTCATTTTTGAGAGAAAACTGAACCTAAAAGCTTCGACCTGTTAATCATTAGTTATTTTGCATTAGTGCATATTTTTTAATATCAATAACATCAGTGTTAAGACGTGTTTCCAGTTATCTGTGATAGCTCTTTCGATACACTTTTATCCTGATCACAGAGTGTTGTTTTCTAGATTCAGTACGGTCTTATCTGTAGAATCTCATTTTTCTTTCATTTTAAAGTGCAGATAAGTTTCTTCAGTTATTTTATGCCTTTTATTCTCTCCTTGCTTTATCGATTATCGACTGACCAACTTCACTTGTTCTTTTTTAAATTATGTTGACATTTTTTCTACAAGCACTAATTTGTGTTTTTTCAAAAACTAAACCTTGATAAGGAACTATAAACTGGTATACTGGAATACTGTGAAAGTAATTGGTATATTGGAATCCTTTGGAATACTGTGAATGTTGGGATCTTAAAAAATCGATAAGTTTCTTATAGATGATCAATTACTTGATAACCTTTGCTGCAACCGTCTTTCAAGTTATCCTCAGGTGATTGGTGGTACGTAACGACTAATATTTACTGGATTAAGAAGCCAGAAAATACTCCAATAATTTGGAACTTAAATAGATTTGAACTTCATTAAATGTACCACTTTGTGTTCAGGATTTGAGGCAATTTTAGAATCTACAAAATACAGTGCATCCTCATTTCTTTTATTTTGCTATGCAATCGAACATAGTATATATAATAAATAACTCGGGAGACTCAAGCTTGAAGCCTGAATTTTTTGAGTTATTTATTCCTCTATTTTTAAGAAAAGGTCAGACTAAATGTTATTGACCGCTTTCTGAAATTTGGGTAGTTGTTCTTGAATCAAAATTTACAACAAGTTTAGTTGCTTTTCGGTTTTTCTTCATTTCTCTTTTTCTGTTCCAAATTTTTAATATTGCTCGTCTTCAGATTCACATACATTTAATCTTCTTATCCATCCTGTCGCATTGCATCTAAATTTTTCTTTCACTTTTCTCAGTTATGTCTTTTAAAAACGATATCAGTATGATGAGATAAAATTTATAACCTTCAAATAATGTTCTCCATATTCACACTTTCATTTTTCATATCTTCTATTACGCCATGTAGTTTGTATAAAAGTTATTTTGCTGCTATACCGTTGCATTTAATACATAACATTTATGTGCTTAATTCACATCTCTGTTAAACACTTATTGAGCAAATATTATAATAAATTTCAAGAGTTGATCGGTTTCCAATTAAATCTGTCGTCTTGTTGTTTATTAAGAAATTTATTATTAACACCACAATTTATTACCAAGCAGTGAAAAAAAAAAATTTTTTTTTTTGAGACAGCTAAAATTGCAATTCCTCAAGCTTTATTTGACAACTATTTTATTTGTTTAATATTGCCATCTCCGACCTGTACACATTTTACTGATTGTGTTCCATCCTTAATTAATAAATATGGTCCGAAAAATACGGTGGTGGAGGCACTTAATTTTTGCAGCTCTGTTCCAACTTTCAAATCGATCTGCAAATAAATAATGTTAGCAAATTATAATAATATCTCGAATATCGCCTAAAAAAATATTTTGGTGAAGTGTAATTTTACTGCTTTTATTTTGCATTTTACTAAGGATGCATTTTAGTTTATTAAAACATAAAGCTAGAGATAAAGACATTCCAGTAAATTGATGAATTGAGCAGAACAATATGATGATAGCAGGAGAGGGGATAACTAAACTCCTTGAATGATAACAACTGATAATTATTTAAGCGATTTGTTGTTTAGTTTTAGCTTTTAAAAGTTGATTTATAAAATTAAACTGAAATAAGAAGACATTTTCCAAAGTTCTACAAATTAAATCAGAGATTACCTGCGTAGCGACATTACATCTATTTTTCTGCTGTCCATTGATAGCATTTGGTGTTTCTTCTTGTTCTTGGATCTAATATTAAAAAACATGCAGGAATCATTAAAATTTTGATGTTTTTACACAGGTAATATTTCCGAAAATTTGCATTATGAACGGATGATGGGGATAGATTGATGAATGAGTTGAAAATGTTAAAAATTCATTGAACGTGTATATCCTGACCGATTGAAAATATACCTGCTCTGAAAGGAGATTCTTCTTAGATTCGATCATTTCAGATTTTTGTATTGTTGGTGCTACAACTTCTAATTGATTTTCAGCTTCTGGTTTGGATGTTTGGATAGGCCAATCTGAGATTTCTTTTTTTGCTTCAAGCAGCTTTGTCTGTAATGTACTGTCGTTACAACTTGTTTTAACGATTCCTGTAATGTACTGTCGTCTGGAGGCCTATTTTTAGCTGTATAGTTTTTTTCAGCTCTATAGTTTCTTTTCACGGGAAGACCTAAAAATAGGCCTTGTTTTCAGCTGTATAGTCTTCTCTGATTGTGATAGTGCATTATTCTTTCCACATTTCTTTCGCCACTAATACTGATATCACCTTTTCTTTCTCTTCCTGAATTGACGATAATACTGGCAGTTTTTGCTCCTTCTCAAATTTCATTGATGGCGATACTGTGGCTTGAATGGAAAATTGAAGAGAACTGCTGTAATGAGTTATGATAAATGATAGAGTTTTCCAGTGTAATCGATTGGCGCATTTTTGAAGTGATGCGCATAATCGTTCTCGAATCTGTAACATTTTATTTATTTAAGATAATAATGATTTCCTCACATCTTAATACTACAACATTTGATTTTTTTTCTTTTTTGTTCCAAAAAAGATTTTCGATTAATTTCAAGCAAATGAAATCAATTTGCTATTGCTTCTAAACCATTTATTTAGCAGTTATTAATTGTAATATTAATTACAAGTTCATTGATAGTACTTCTTTTAGGACAGAAATAATGTGCGAAAGTATTATTTTCTTGATTTGTTTCAAATTTCATAATTCCTTTAAATTATAAATGGAAGGAGTGATCAGATTTCAGTTTCCTGTTTATTATCTATCTGTCTATATATTCTTTATGCTTTGGCATTAGCAATCTAATAGAGTGTGTAAACAGATAGATGCTCTCGTCGTTAAAATTGAACACCTCATGAAGATCATTCCAGTTACATCGTATATTTATCGTTCGCATTCCTGTCCTAAATTTGAAACGATAAAGCAACCGTTCCCACAAGTTGAACTGAGATGCAATAAATAATAACGACTTATTGGAAATAATATAATCTCATGGAATTTTAATCATTTGGCAATTATTCAAATAAGTAACGAAATAATGATTAAATTGAATTTGAAACCAAAAAATGCCAAATGTGAGTGTATTTATTTGGAAAAAAGTTGTTGTTCGATTTATTTACATGTATTTATATTATTTTTACAGATTCGAATAAAATTTAAATATATATGTATATATGTATTAGTGTTATCTCTATGTTAATTAAATTTCTCCTAAAATCTCTTCCTAAATGATTAATTTATGTTGTTTGAATATTAGAATTTATTATTTAATAATTAAAAAACTTTTTGTTTAGTGAAATGATAAATCTATTGCTACGTTCAACTTTTTCATATTAATCATTTCAGATAAGTAAAATTTCTACCTCTTAGTCTCATTCATCTCTTTCTACCTATCCGTCCTTCCTTCATAATTATTCCTAAATGATTGGACCGGATTTGAAATTTCTTCTGTCTTACTCTATATTCATTTTTGTCCGCATAATCTCTCTCATTTCTACCTTCCAGCCTTCCTCTTCTGCCTTTTCATCATCTCAATCGATCTTTTTAAACTTCTGAAGTAATTACATGTTTCTAGAAGTGAGTCATTTTTAACTTATTCTTCAGAGAGAAAGAAATTATTCGGAAATATTCAATAATCCAAAATAAATTATGTTGTGAGGGTATATTTGTATTTGCTTCTGTTTATATAATGTAATAAATATAAATACCCGTTTTGAAGGCAATCAACTGTATAATCTTTCCAGCAAACATTTCTGACATTATCAATTAGACGAACAGTCCATAATCTGCAAAGTCTCGAAATGATTCTGCCAAACTGTCAGCTCATTTCATTTCATTTCATTTTCTATTTGCCACTTATGGAAATTATATTTGCCTGATGTTTGAAATAATTTAACATACTATTGTATTTCATCTCCTGCTATTTTGTTCACAATATGATCTCAGCTGCTTAAAAGTAATTGATCAGAAATAATAGCAATAATAGTTATCCTGGAATGAACACCTGTTTTAATGATAATAAAAAAAATGGGCACTTGCAAATTGTCAAAAACAAAAAAACTCCTACAATATACGATTTTTTTGTTTTGATAAAAGTTTACAACACTTTTTCTTTCATTTTTCCTCACCATAACAGTGGTTTAGTGATTACTGGTATTATCAATGTCTTTTGACATCTTTAAAGTGGAAATTTAGATTAAAAATTTTTAAATTCTTCATTTATTCCATTTTGATCAATCCAAACATAGAAATTATGAATCAGTGATATTTTCACTATTAATATTTGTTTTTTTCATTATGTCATTGTATATAAGATTTCATGTTATGCAATAATTGTAAAAGTATCGCCATTATTACTACTTTGTTGTCCAAGTAAGCGCAGTCAAAAAGCTGTGATATGCATCATACAACCAATTAACAACTTTAGATAACTGGTTATTCTATCATAAATTTGAATTTTTATCCTTTTTTTATGTTATGGATTAGTTGCCATGCGCCACCTATTCAATCATGCCACTGTGAATTTAAATTCAGTTAACTAACTGTCCTCATTACGCGATGATGTGAGAACGAATAAATTTTATGATTCAGAAAGAAACGATTTGATGAGGAATTCTAAGTATTTACAAATCTCTATTTACTTTTAAGAAAATCCATGCTAAAAAACCTTAATAGAAATTTTGAAGGGACAATCTAAGAATTAACTCGGAAGTCATTTCGATTTGTTAATTTTAATCGCATCAAACAGAAATTTTAATTTTTGCTTGCTTCGTAGCTGATTAAAGTTTTATGGAAAGCAGTTATGAAAAATAATATCACAAGCTTCTTAAAAGTCAGTTCGTGCAATCTGGGTAATGTTTGAAATTACTCTTACTTTTTTACCATTTTAAAAAGTTTGATTTTCTTTTCCTTGGAATTATTTATTGAGATTAATAAAAGTTATTTTATGATTTCCAACTTAATTCATCAACAGTAATCTTAAAAATTTATTTTCAATTTTTTTGAATAAGAGAACTCGTTTTCATTTATTAACCTCAAATTAAACCACTCTATGAAAGTTTTTATGCCCATAATTATTGGTACTCTGAGAAAAGTTATGGTAAAGAATTATTAGCAATTCCTCACTTGTATTTTCTAGTTCTTTTTACTGAAATGAGCTTTATTGCTATTTGCAATTTTAAGACAATTCTGCTAATTATTTGCTCAACGTATTATAGGCATTTATTAGCCTTATTAAGCTTAAGGCAATAAAAATTATAATTATAATGATTACTGCGTAACAATAGTGATAATGATGCAGAAGCAATACTAATAGTAGTAGTAATGTTGATGTTAATAGCGTAATATTTTGGGATGATTTTTTTAATTTTTCAAATTTCATAAAATTGGAAGCTTTCTCTATTTTTTTACCGATCTATTCATTAGCACTAGTTAAATTTTACTTTTATGGGTTCCACTTTCTTAGTTTGAAGAACTTTTTGACACTTCAACATATTGAATACAAGGCAAGTTTTAGCACTTAAGAAGTATTCAGATTGAATTTAGAATTCTGTTCAATTCCTAATTAATAATAGATTGTTTGATCATATCAATGATCATATTATGATATGCTAAAGCTGAGAGAGCTCCATCCATAGCTCGGACGTACTCGGATATCTAACTTGGACAGCTTTCTCAAATTCAGAAGACCGTAAGTGGTTGAGCCTAAATGGCCATCGGTTGATCTCCGGGATTCGTTGCAGGCGAAGTGATGTTACACAATCAAGAACAGCACAGGCCTTACTCTTCCATTGTTATCCGCAGTATTTATTCGTCTTCACACTCTTTAGAAAAAGCTAAAATGTCGCTATTATTTGCTTACCATGTTCGCAATGACGAAATCAAGTAATACTAATTAACTAATTATGATAAGTGATACTAGCATGTGACATTGATGGCGACTATACTGTTCTAGAAAAATGTATGGAAGAATTGGAAGAATGTACTACGACTGGAAAAATCTGAAATAATCCAGTGAAAAAATGGAAAAAAGTATATAAGAAGGGAGAGAGAGCGAGAGAGATAGAAAGAGAAAAAAAGAGTTCAAATTATTGAAGACTCTTCAGAGAAGATCATTTTGGATACATTCTTTCCCACATTTTTTTTTAAATTTTATTCTCTACAATAACTATCTGTGAATAATCACTGAATCACAACTTGTAAAACTAAAAAGTGACAGTTCAAATCTATCACGCTTGTTTTTTTTTTTTTTGCAAAATTCATTATGCTTTACAACGATATGTTATAAAATCAGCTATTAATCATTTAACACCTAGCAAAAGCTACTATTAATAGTAATATGCATGCTTTTTTTTTAATTAAGGAATAGAATGAATATTTGAAAGATGCATTCCATCACATTTAATTTACATTTAGTCATTGTATCGCTGTGACTCGTCCAATTCCAATGTTCCAGCTCAGAAATATGCATTCGATTATTTTTCATAAAATTTTTGCTCAAATTTTTATGTTTTCTTTATTTGACGAAAATTTTGAACGCAAAATGCTTTCATCTTTTTAGCCTTTCAACATTAATAGAATGTTTTCTTCGAGTACACACACACAGACATGTACACATATACATAACACATACACACACACACACACACACACACACACAC